CGAAATATTGGAGGAGGGACTCTTGCCACTTTATTCCTCGGGTATCGTGGACAAGAACACAACGTTGTTCCAGGAAGATGGAGCATCGTGTCACACTGCTAGAAACACCCAAAAGTGGCAGGAAGAAAATGGTGTCCAGAAGTTGGCCTGGCCGAGCCAATCTCCTGATATGAACCATACTCGACCGGCAAGTCAAGAAACAACCAAAAAACCAACTTCAAGAGCAATCTACTCCAAGTTTTGAAGCAAGAGTGGGTGAAAATCTCACAATCTAAAATTGACGAGATGTTCTCACGATGCCCTAAAGGATCAACGAACTCCACGAAGCGAAAGGAAGATCTACTAGATATTAATTAAATTATAAATATATCAATTCATGTGAATATGACTGAAAGTTTTCATTTTTTCTGAAAAGGTGGTGTTTATTTACTTGTGACCACGCTGTGTATATATATATATATATATGTATATAATCCTCTTATAAGCTGGTTAAAGAAAACTGATGTCAGTAGTTGATAGGAAAAAAATCAAAACTAATTTGTAAGAAGCAAAAAATTAACATTAATTAAAGAAATATCTACATAAATATGGTTTGAAAATGATCCTTTGATTTTTCATTTAAGATTTAGATAATAACCATCTTTTTATAGGTGATAAAACTAAGAACAGTGGAAAAGCTTAATAATGAGTATGAAGATGCTATGAATCGAATTTTACAAACTGAAGAAATAGTTGCTTTAATAATATATGACATTGAGACAGCCCATTGACTCACTACTTTACAATAAACCAATATTAGTTTCTGTTTGTTGTTATCATAACATTTCATTTTACACAAAAATAGAATCATTATACATAAAATTTGAAAGTTTTTTTTGTTGAGAATTCATGTATTATATACTATTAAAGCTTCTGCATGAGTTTAAAAGTGAGACATTTCCATAATTCTGTTTCATTTTTTTCTCTGGAGTTTGCTTTCTTTTATCTCTTGTTTCTGTTTTCAACCTCAGTAGCCAGACATTAGCCACACAGAATTAGAGGCACATTTGGTAATATTGCAGACATTTGTGTGAATAAAGGTTTTGTTTTGTTTGTTCACTTGTTTTCCTTTCATTCTTCACTTAACAATCCTCAATCTTTGGCTTGTCTGTCAGACATACCACTGTGTGACAGCTGGACTAGTTAGCAAAAAGTAACATTTTGTTGCCATGACCAAAGGATTATTACTGCAAGATGTGCTTCCTTTTCTATTGACTCTCTATTACAGTTAAGCTTGTAAATTGTTTGATCATGGAATGCAACTAGCTTTCAATGACCATGGAAATCTTACAACAGAGATGAGGCAGCTACAGTAATAGTGAAGACTTGCTCTGATAATATGGCAAGGTCTAGAAGGAGTATTTAATCAGCCAACATGAGAGTGATGTTAACATTCTTGTTATTTTCTTAGGGCAAAGAGTTTGATAGGTGCCTCAATGAGCAAACATAGGCAGCCCTAATTGAAACCTCAAATGTTACTTTGCATATATAAGAGCATAGGACAGTAGGGAAGGGTCATGACTGCAGTGAGTAGGCTGAATGTCCCAAAATGCACTGGGATGATCTCTGTGGGACTCCAAGGTACTTGTGGATAAGCCCTGGCATAGCAAGGCACTATGTGAAGTCACTATTGGCTGAGTAGAATAATGAGATGCATGAGAATAAAGATTTTGTTTAATTGTTTGTTTGTGTTCTTTTTTCTATCCGTGTTCAATTTACTATTTGCTTAACAAGCTTCAACCTGCAATTTTGTGGAACATTTGGTTTTTCTGTTTCATATCACTGGACTTGAATACCAAAACTATATTTATGTACTTTAAAAACTAAAATTATCAGCTTCAGACAGCATGAACTACTATTAATATAATCATAATAAATATATATACAAAACTAAACTAACAAATATATCAGGTAACATCAGTATTTAAAACAGCATGCCATTGCTACAATTTTTAAAAAAAAACATAATTTTGAGAAATTTTTATGTGTTACTTTTAAAATACGAATTAGTGTCTGTAACATTTTTGAATATGTATTGTTATCATAATTAGTAACTGATGTGGTATTTTCAGGTAAAACTGATTTCCCTACAAGTATTAGACAGGCAAACCCACAAAAAACAACAGATTTGATCAAGAAATAATGGAAGTATTTTGTAGTTGATAACTTAACTGAATTTTAAGTTACAGATTGGACACATTTAAATGATAGTGAAAACTATTTAGATGCAACATAAAAATCAGTGTGTATATCTATGTAGACAAGAGGACTACTGCCTCTACTGGATCAGCTTTTCTCCCTCATGACAAATCTCTACCAAATTAGTCACAATGAAAGCCAAATAGAACTGAGCAAAGAAAGTGCATCTTGATTTCAGACATCGCTTTACTTTCTTTGTCTAGTGGACGACATAACCTTGTTACCTCTGTTCCCTGACAACATTGGCTACCTAGCAGAGGATATTCCAATTTTAACTTGTTCATTCCAATGTCAAGATATAGCACTGAAATATCCTTGCAGGCAGAGGACATCATATAACAAGAAAACAAAGGGCTGAAATGATTAGAACAAGATAGCGTTAGACATCCTGAACCATGTTTTGTCGCTATGGCAGTGCAGAAACTATATAATCAATAATTTGGAATGGTAGGGAAAATATGGTATGCCTGCATACCGCACTGGTACTTCAACAAATCATTGGTGGGTCTGTCATTATACAATGAAATGACAAATGCAATAAACTTAATTAAAATTTTTATAGTGGCATTAATATATGATCTTTGGTATTTCAAAACAAAATTCTCTTCAAAGGATTCTTGACCAACACTGACCAAGAACTTGCTTATTTTTACTGCAGGACCAAGCAGGCTCTATCTCACCAAGTGAAGATCTTGAAGCATCCATTCTTCAAACTTTAAGGGCTAGTAAAGATCTTAAACAACAGGTTTGACAGAAACACTTATCATTTTCTTATTGTTAAGTTTGATAAATAAGTGTCTAATGTTGTAACAGATGGTAGGCATTCACTGTGTTTTGATACTCTAGGTACCGGGTTTTATTAGTAATATATTTTACACATAAATAAAAAAAACGTGAAAGGTTCAAAAGCTGAACTAAAGGATAATAATGAGAGATTTGTGAAGATCTATTTAGTAATTAAGTTTGACATGACCAAGAAATAAAAGAAAATTGAGACAAAAGTAGGTAAAACATTTTATTTACCACAAATAAACCATCAAACTTGAAATGTGAATTATGTATTGACAAAGGTGTTAAGAAATAAACACCTTACTCATTTTCTATTTGGTTTTTCTGTTTAATGGTTACTGGACAATGACTTTCCCAAATGGGGAGAAGAGAAACTCTGTACACAGTGCTAAGCTAACTTGATGAATAGTTCTTAAACCTATTGTGTACATGCAGAGATAGAAACATTGAAAACTTTGGTTTCCCTTTTCTGTTAATGGATCTATGTGAATGACTTGGGTGGCTAGCACTCTGGGAAATTTTGTTGGATATTATAATTTCTAAACAATCCTTGTTTTCTCTTAATGTATTGTTCATTGTGAATACAGACAAGTCTTGGGCCTATTTTACAAACTTATGAGACATTTAATAAGGGCAAGATGAATGCATTTGATGGTTGGGCTCATCCTGTTTGTTCATAACTTGTAAAAAAAGTGCAGGAACCCATTCTGAAGTTTTGAAACAATTTAAAAAAAAAGGATATTAAGAAATTGATGAGTTTAATTTCTTACAACTATATATGTAAAAGAAAATGGTTGCAAGAGTCCATGGTAAGTACAAGTAACAATAAGAAGAAATAAGGAAGACTTGTCATTATACATCAACATGAACATTTCAGTTGTAGAATACCACTAAATTAGTCTTACTTGCAAAATTGTTTTGTGATGGTAAATGTCATGAAAAAAACAACACAATTTTGCAGTTATACTGTTATTGTTATGTGATTAGTTCTATAAATGTCAAATAAAATATCTCTAGCAAAACAGTCTACATTCTATTCATTAGTTTGGTTTTATAGACTACTTCCCTGGTACTAATATTGTCTGGCAAACTGATGGTACTAGCGTAAAGTTAAATGTTTTACTTGCACTTTTACTGCAACTTTGTGGTTAATTATTCAATAGAAATTTTATATGAAGGCATTGATCAGATTATGTAAAATGTTCAGTTTAAATCATGAATATTTTTAAAATTGCAACTTTTAAACAGTTTTCATCAACTAAAAAATAAATAGTACAGTTCATAAAAAATGATACAATGTTCCTAAAAATATTTGCAATTTGATTAACAAAACTGTGTGATTTTATGACAGCTGCATGAAAGTGGCAATGATGTATAATATAGGTCAGTCTTAGATAAGTTTCTGAAGCTATGCAAAAAATTCCACTCATGAAATCTATGTGATGAAATATAACTCAAAAGCCTAGAATATTTTCTCCTTTAGTGATTTAAAAAGATTAGATACCATCAGAAACACTACAATATTCATTAGTATAGAACAAAAAAATGCAGTATTTCAACTTAAACTTGCATAATTTGTTAAACAATTTTGTCTAGCTACAAGATACTGCCTTGGATCATGCTGATGAGCTTTTCAAAGTCACAGATGAGGCTGAATTTATGAGCCAACTAAAAAATGCAGCTATTGCTGGTGACCAGGACAGGTTAGAAGAATTTGCTGAAAAATTCAGTGAGCATGCCGACCATGTTCAAGAGGTAGTTAAGCTAAAGTTTTAACTACTATTGAATTAAATGATTCCTCTTCCTCTTCTTAAGTTAATATTGTTCAAAAGTCTTAATTTGTCTTTTTGTTTGTCACAACCAAAGGATTATTAATGAGCTTCTATTTTTTAGCAATTACATAACCTTCTTTTGCAGTTTGTGAGTAAATTTATTATTGTTAAAATCAATGAAATTTTTAAGTTAGTTTGTTTGTAGTTAAGCACAAAGCTACACAATGTGCAATATTTGTGCTGTCAAATTATTAAGAAATGTTAATAGTAATATTATAACTATTCTTCATGATTCTGAAAAGATAGTGTTTAGCATTTGAAAGGAAAAAAATTGCAATTACAGACATGTTTTGTCTTATAATTCACAAATTTTCTTCTTTTTTTTTCAGGTTTGTAAACTGTTACACCATGTTGCCAGCACAGAATCTCTACAAGTTACCTCAAAAAACTTGGATTATTGCTTGAAAATTTATGGAGTTCAGGTTTGAAGTTATTTTTTAAAATAAAATTTATCTCTGTCAAACACATTTTAATTAGTACAGAACAATAGATCCCACCAGCTATAAACTTAGTAGAGCTTTTTCTATTTAGCTGTAATGCAATCTTTGTTATATATTTAGAGTAATTTATTAGTATAATTGCTGAAATAGTTATGAATTCCACCCTTCCATAATGAGTATATAATATAACTTTTTCAATTATATTCATGATATATTCAAAATTTCTATGCAGTTTCTTCATGACATCTTAGTCAACTGGATATCTCATGGTTGTAAACATGTGTCATTTCTTTTATAAAGGTAAAGCTACATACTGCAGGTTTTATTACTAAGTCTCAAGTTATCATATATATATTTCTCTATGGATTTCTTGGAAGGCAGCTAATTCAAACAAACAACACAAAAACCTGTACACCTGGCCTGGCTTAAGACTGTACATAGATCTTTGGTTGAAATGTGTAACCTGTGGATTTGTAGGATATCCGACTTTCTCTGTGTTGACTGAGTATATAAGTTAGGTATTTCCATAGTTTTGTCTCTCAATTCCTCTTGCTAGTTATTTTCCTTTGTTACTGTCTCATGTTTTGTAGCCCTCAACCTCAGAGCCAGATGAAATAGAATTTGTTAACAGAACACTGTATTTTTAGATAAAGAATCTTTATGTTTAAAACTACACTTGTATTTCTTGCTTTCCTATATTCTCTGTGTTCAATTTATTCTTTGCTTAACACTCATGAACTGCATTTTGTGGGAACTTTTGTCTGTTTCTGTTGGACATCTGTGAATACCATAAATTAATTAAAAAGAAACATTTGCCATGACCAAAAAATTTGTTATTCCAAAGTTTATATTTAATGTGCTTCTTTTTCTCTTGACTCTCTGGTAGTATAATGGTTGTAAATCATTCTATCATGAGAAGAGGAACTATGATAGTAGTGAGAACTTTCACCAGCTTAGTGAGAGCATTGTCAGCATTCTCATTCCATCCTTAGGACCAAGAAGTTGAAGGTCACTTCAATGGGAAATCCTGGGCATCCCTAATGTAACTTCAAATAATTCCATCTATTTGCAGGAGCATGGAGTAGTAGAGAAGGGTCATGGTGATCATGAGAAGCCTGAATGTCCCAAGAATTCCTGGGATGGTGTTTATAGCCCACTGTCACAAGATGCAGGGTAAAGATATCATGAGCTGAAGAGAGTGGCAAGATGCAAGTGCTAGATGAAGTGTAGTGCATTTCTTTGCAGTACTGTCAGGTCAAGCAGGTGGAATCTCATCATATTTCAGCAAGAGTAGGAATTAGTCAGGAGCCTGCAAGGACAGCAAGATACACTGAAGATGCTCTGAAACTACATCTGGTGGCTGAAGACACTATAGGATGTGGTTGTAAAGTGTGTCATTATCCTTTATGTCATCACAATGGCAATGATGCCATGCATTATTGCATACTGAGTCATCCAAGATGTGTGTGTCTCTGGGCTTTAAGAAGATGATGAACTTCTGAGAATATCTTGGGTGGATTTTGGCAAAGAAGCAGGCAGTTGGAGCCTGTGGGCACTGCTTAGTAAAGCCAACAGGTCCAAGAAAATAGCAAAGAAGGACTTTAATCATTTCATCAAATGTCTGAAGAAAGTTGTTGCTTGGAATAGATGGATTCAAGGGCAAGTGGTGCAACTGTTGATGCTGTGTATGGACAGTCCAGCACTCATTGCTACTAAGCATTTGGAAAAAAAGTGTGATTCAATGATTGAAATAGTTTTTAATGGGTTGTGCAGCAGGTTCGACCTGTAAAAACCCAAGCAATCTATAAGGCCATGATCAAAGCTTGAAGATGAGGGCCCCAAGAGAATGTGGCCACTTATGCAAATGATTGAAACTCATGATGAGGTGCTCATTGACAAGTTTATTAAGGGGTTACTGAGTGAACTAATGTGGACTTAAGGTCATCTCATATGTTATGGAAGGAGTTTTAGTAGTAGTACAATTTCAAGTTGTCGTGTCAAACTGCATACTTGAGCAAAAGATGAAGTCAACAGCAGTAGAAATTTAAGCTACTTAGAAACAGCTTCCAGGGTCTGTAAAGGCCCCTCAAAGCACAAAAGTCCTAATGCTCCAAATGCCACAAGGCAGAATGGTGAAGAAACTATGGTTCACAATGGGTCAGCAGGATTTCTATCACCAAAGCACCATGATTGCACTACCACTGAAGGTGGAATTGTTCTCTCCAAAGTACTATGGGTATGATAAAAAGAAGTGCCTGCTTCTATTATGACCTACCTGAGCTGTGTGTGTGTGGGAGTGTTCATATCCAGTTATGAGACAGGACCATTTGATGCACACACCTTTCAACTCAACACCACGACAGATACAGGAAGGTCAGTGACAAATAATGGCCGCAGCAGCACCTAATGGTTGAAACTAGTAGAGCCTTTGTTAGATCTGGCCATGAACTTGGGCAAGTGCAGCTGTCATTATACACTAAAGTCAATGTGGCTAGTCCAGAGAACCATTAACTCATGTGATACATGCTGATAACAATACATGTGCATTAAGTTGAGTCCTTTGTAGACATAGGAGCAATCAGAACAACACTCAAACTTGCTGTATATCAGGTAGTCCACGTTAAGTCACTACTTTGGCAAATTAGTATGAACTTCTTTCTAGCAATTGGTGACAAGCTAGACAGAAGTGCATGCTGAGCAAAGGTAGATATCTCTGATTTGAGTTGAGACATTTGTATGTTAGAGAACTGTGAAAACTGTTGTAGTTCAGCAACAAAACTTTCCATTGCCATACAGATTGTGCCCAAGAACAGTAGATTGCATGTATGCACATTAAAAATGATGTGGTAGTTCCATAATGTGCAATTGGTATTCAATTGTGTATTACAGATGCAATCTAGTACATTGTCACATTATACTGCAATGATATAACCAAGGCATGAAGCACACTGATGTCTGTTTGGAAAGTAGTCTTCACTAGTTCAAACAGTGATCTGTCTGAGTATGGGTGTTATACCAGTGCTAGTCTGCAAGTACGGTAACAGAGGTAGAAGTGATGCTGACTATCTATACTACTTGTGTCACGGCCATTCTGCCACATCCAAGAAGGAATGCACAGCTTCCAGAGCATCTGAAGTCTCTAGTGAGAGGTGAGGGAAGCAATTTTGGATTGGTTAAGCAACTCAGAATAGCGTGCAAAGCATGCCAGTGCAAGGAGGTCTGGAGGCATGCCACCCATTAAAATTTTGAAAAATAGGTGCTCTGAGATTGAATTTTGTGCAAATTTTACTATAATTTATTGAAAGTATTAATAATTTTCAAGCACTTCTGTGTGACTCACAAAAATAGCTACTCACTGACACTTATACTCACCATAGCTATAAGAAGCACAAACATGTACACTTGAACATTACACATGTAATTTATTATGCATTGTTATACTGATTCATCCATACTACTGTAAGTCTATCTATTTACCTAGAAACAATTACTGAAGTGCAAGTTAAGGTTTAAAAAGCCCTAGAGTTACTGTGACAAACTGTTGGTCCGGCTGTTGCCCAGTATGCAGGACCTGTTCCAGCACACATGTCTAGTTGAGGACTGGGCAAACAGTCTGAACTCGACACAAAGGAATGAATGCAGAGAATTTCTTAAGGACTTTGTTAGCGGTTGTGTTTATAGAACCAGACAACTCACTGAGTTAGAGAACAGTTACATGTAATTACATAGACATAGGTGATGTAACCCAATAGAATAATTTCCACACAGGTTTCCTCGCAACACCAGAATTATTGAGTGGACATTGGTGGACAGAGTAATATAAAGTTCAGAGAGTGTATGGTTATCTCCAGTGTGATTGTTAAAAAAGTAGGAAGGTACATCAAGGTTCTGTATGGACTTCAGATAGGTGAATGTGTTGATATTCTCTGACACCTTTCTTTACTGTGCAAAGACAAATGTTTAGATGTATTGGAAGGCACTTATTGGTTTAGCACACTGGACCTTGCTTCTGGATATTGACAAGTGAAACTGTATGATGAAAGTAGACCTATCTAATGAAAGCAACAAATCATTTAAACCATGATCATTTATTTTTGCAAAATATCTTTGTTTTTTACAATAATAAATAATTTTGGTTTGTATAGTATATTACCTTTATTAATTAAATACCACAGGATATATGATAAATCAATTAAAGTATACCTTAGACTACTTTCAGTACTCAAGAAGGACTGTATGAATTCTGTGTCATGCCATTTGATCAGAGTAGTAACGTTCCTGCAACTTTTAAGTAGGAGATGGAACATACATTGAGAAGATTACAATGAGAAAGATGTCTTATCTATGTGGATGACATCTTTGGTTGAACAATTCAAGCCACATCTGAGATTCTGAAAATTGTATTCCATTTCATCAAGAATGTAGGCTTGCAATTTTAACCAGGAAAGTGCCTGCTTATGCACATGAAAGTGCAGTTTTTCAGTCACATAGTTGGTAGAGATGGAGTATACAGTGATCCTGCAAAGACTGCAGCTGGGCCTTACATTCTAACACTTTAGAAGTATGCAGGTTTCTGGGCTTTGTATTGTATTATTGATCATTTGTAGCCAATTACTCTAAGAAAGCTGCAACATTCTCTGCATTAACTAAGGTTGATGCACACTTTATATGGATATGGTAATGTGAAGATTCAAGCATGCTTTGGTCAATGTTGGCTTATCATGTCAAGATTGTTCTTTCACACTGGATACAGATGCCATGGGTAATAGAATTGTCATGGTTTTGTCACAAGTACAGGACAAGGTAAAGTATGTGTTTGCACATATGAACCATATGTTGAGTGACCCCAAGTTTTAATACTGTATGAAAAAGGAAGAACTCCTTTCAGTTGTAGTATTTGTCAACAGCTGTATAGAATATATCTTTATTAAGGTATACTCACATAATATTTTTCTAAATTTCCATGCAGTTTCTGCATGTAGTTATAATATTTTAGTTGTTCAGATGTCTCAAATTCATAATTAAGCATGCTCAGTGGAAGTGCTAGCCCATTGGGAACCCAAACAGGAATATTGTTTGACTCCCTCTTTCACACCCTGAAAAAGTACTAATTGCAATCTTTCCACAAACCACAAATACATCATCACAACAATCCACATGCCAATATACTTGTTAAAAATAATTTCTATTCAGGCATTAATACCAACATTGCTAATATCTTTATGCAATCATGCATACTGTGTGTATTTACTGCATTTAGCAACCAACACGTGTGCCCGACTGTGAAGTATCTAGCTGCTGCAATCTTAAGACATCCACCTGTTACCAAGTTATTTATTTTTGGATCTCTTTCATTGAAAACACTTTTTTTTTAAATGATTATAATACCAAAAGAAGCAAAAGTCAAAGTTCTGATGAAAATAATAAAAAACATAATCTCAGTGAATTGGAGGTCCCTTGAACTGCTCAGGGCCCTAAACAATTCTTAGTCTGCTTATGCCTAGTGCCATCATGCAAAGACTACAAACTGCAATTTTTGTTCTTAAGTTTCAAACTAACTTATATTTATATGGACTTCTTGGAATGTAGTTTATTCAAACAGGTAATACACAAACCCATGCACTTGGCATGCCTTACAATTAACTCCACGTAGACCATTGGTTGAAGTATGTAACCTATTGTGGTGAAGGATGGTACCATGTGTTAGCTACCCTTCAGTTAATATGTACATTTTTTTGAAATTTATGTTTTGCTTTCAGTTCAGTTTGGATATAGAGTTGTTCAACTGAACACAAGACTCAGGTCTGTTCATTATGTTAGGCATGTTCTCTTGGAAGGAAGACAACTGCTACTATACTCATGTTATTTTGAGATAGACAGGTGACTTTTCTTTCAGAGAATCAATTAATGACTTGGAATCCACTACCATTATGCTAGTTGAAACACAGATGGCTCGAGTTCACTTGTGTGAAGGGCAGTGTGTAAGCAACTTGGCTGTGTTTGTATTGTTGTTTTTAGTAGCTTAAAGCCAAGTAGCCAGTTTTCCCCTGTTTAGCAAGTTTTTACATAGTTTCATACAACTTTAGATTATGTAGAGTTCTCCTGTAGTGAAATTTAACCTTAGCATAACAGTCCTTTATTTAAGGTTAACTTTATTCTTATTTTAACATGGCAGGGATATTTTTGTTTTAAATCACATAATTAACTTAAATTTCTCTAAACTTTTATCCTTGAATTGTTGAATTGCATCTAATATTGTCAGTAATGTCTTGTTGTTTGTTGTTTTAAACTTTGATATATATATATATATATATATGTTTATATATAATCCATAAGAATGGCAGCAGTGATGTGTCTGGTCACAATTACAAACAATAGAGAGTATAATGTAATAAATTTAAAAGCTCTTTAGCTGTAGGAAAGGAAACTCAACAGTCAACAAATACTGTTGTATAAAAAGTGCTGACTTTTGTTTTACAATAATGACATTTTATGCAAACTCAAAAGTAACAAAAAATAAAAGTAAACTTTTGAATATATATACATTACATTTAAAATTTCTCAAAACTGTTGGATTAAGACATCCTTGTCATTTGAGATATGCCATGTTAAGTTTGAAGTACATAATAAGTGACATACTCCACTGTTTCTCCATGTGTTTATTATGACATTCACTTTATTTGCTAATAGTTGTAGTGATAAAATTGTGCAAGCTTAAAATAGAATAACTTTTATTAAAATATGTTCTCAGTAATATAAAGATTGAAACTTTGTATAAAGGTAACACAATGCCCATTCCTAAATTTGTGAAATCCTTATAATACTTACCCTTGAGAGTTTATTATTTATATGCAAATTCATTGTGATTTTATTTTATAGGTGCTTAATGCTTCTCACACTTTGTGTTTGCATCCAAAAAGTAAGATAGCCAAAGAAAACCTTGATGTTTTCATGGAAGTTTGGCAGTCATTAGTTAACGATGTAGCCTCCATTTCTTCAGAAATAGCAGAATTGTGTCGAGGAAGGATACCCGAGAAACCAGTTTACATGTCACTTCCAAGACCTGGTGTAAGTTATCATTCACAGTCTCTGATCTGAAATTTAATTTTCTATATCTTGAAAAAGTTTTCATGGGTTTTATATCATGTAATAAAATAACTGTTAAAGTATGGGTTTGATTTTTAATCACTTATAAAAAAAACTCTAATTAAAGTTGAATTTTGAAAAAAAATTATTGCTGTTCCTTTTATTATTTATTACATATTTATTTTGACCTTTTTTTTGGCATAATAGCTTTTGTTGAAACAGTATACTGTTTTATGTTCAAAATAGTGTGTGTAAATTTTACTATTATAAAACTTTATTTTTTTAAGATAGTGATAAGAAAATATGTATACTTCATTTAAAGAACTTTTTAATTTCTAGTACTAAACATTTAATAATAAAACTGTAAGTATATTTAATTTTCATTGATGTTTTTATTTATGTTATTAATAGCATTGAATTTTATAGATTATAATGAATGTTGGTGGTTTATGCTTTTCCTACTGAATTACACTTTTATATGCTACATTAATCCATGCTAGTCAGTGTCTGTATTATTTTTATTTCTTTTAGAGACATGGCACTACTAGTAAGCCCTTGAAGCCAGTAAAGCTAGACATGGAGGTAAAACCTCTATATTTCTTTAGCTTGTTTGCCTACCTGTTATCATATTAGCATAATAAGCTTCCTTAGTCAAGTAAAGTTCAGAATTGAGTGCAACTCAGAAGAGATTATTTAATAACTATACTAAATCTGAATTCTGCTGTATCATTAGGATTATTTAGTATTAAAGCTTACTAAGATTAATCATTTACCCTTTAATTTGCTGTGGTTTTCAATCATTAATTTAAAAAAAAAAATTTGTTTTTCCAGTAAAGGTGTGTTACA